ATTCTTGTTCCAAAGAAATTAAACAAAGTTTTTCTCTCTACGACTGTCTCTTACATATCTCTACCCTTCATGCAGTTTGTTATTTCTTCAGATCACCAAGCAAGGGCAGCTGGCCAGCAATGAGTAAGAAGTGAAACTACACTGATTTTAATTCCAGTATGTGGAACACACAGACCACTGGCAGAATTCTAAATAATTCCAGTGTATGAATTTGTTCTTTTAAAAATAAAAATAAGGATTCACTTCTAAAGGTCCGTATTGCCAGCTAGGTTACTTGTCTACATTTGTAATAACCCAAAGGTAGCAGCTCTCAAATGTTTAAGTACCTACAAATTATTTTGCAAGCCTCTCTGATCAAAAAAAGTCTAGCCACTCCTTTCAGTGAAATACAACACTTCACATAGGTAATTAACAGGGAGTTGCGTTATTTAGAAGTGATTTATATGCAAGAAATCATACCTCACTGAATAAGCTTCCATTCACATAAGAAATCCAGAGCTTCCAGAAGTTGGGCAGCTGGCTTACAACAAGTTTTGTCAACTTTTCAACAAATATAACTTGCTGAGGAGCTTTATATCGCCAAGCTAAAAGGAGAGGCGGGGGGAGAAGAAAAAGTAAATAACTTTGAATTAATAAATGACCTACTACTGGCTTGCTGCCACTTTGTAGCATGTGAGTGACTATACCACATACACATAAAACCTTTCAGGTAAGAGTGGAAAAATTTAACATCCTGGTTCACATACATATACACAATTAGTACACATGCAAATTCTTTCACCTTTTTTCAAACGCTTACAAGGTGACAGCACTATGATAGTATACAGAACAGGCTTTCTTTGAAGGGGTATCTAATGTAATCCACCTAACAATCCATTCAGCTGGTGTTCTGTCTTCCAACCAGTCTAATTGGAGAGGTAACATGAAAGCAATTAAGACATTAAAGGTTTCACATGATGAGGCAGTGATGCTGAAGAAAACGGCTAGTGGGATAGGTTTGTGATTAAGGCAAACAACGGGAATTGGAAGATCTGCTTTACTTCCAGCTCATGCAGATTTTTCCATTGGGGCCTCAGGCAAGTTGCCAGCCTCTCATCTTCATTTGTTTGGTAAAGTCTTTTCTCCAAAAAAACTGGACAAATTGCAACATTGTTGTTAAAACTCAATTAACATAGCACCAAGTATACACTGAGATTCTGGGATGAAGAACACAATCAAGAGTAGCATATAGAACTGTGGCATCTCTCACTTCGCCAACCTGTTTACAACCCTTGTACACTGGCTCTTAAATCCCTTAAGGAAGGTAGCTTATGCTTTGGCAGCAGATAACTTCTCTCAGTTTCTTACTGAGGTTTAAAAGTGAGGTTGGGGGAAAAAGTAAAGTGAGAGTTGAAAAGAGGCAGGGGAAAGGTTCTGATGAATAGGTAAAGAGCAGTATTTTCCAAAATTGTCTATAACCATTTGCCTTCTCCATGAAAACTTTCTTGAGATTATGATGTTTTAGCAAAACAGGAATTGTTATATATCCTATGTCTAAGACTGTTATATTTCATATAAAAAAATTACAGCCCACTTTATAATGTGGATAAAAAGAAATCACAAATTTTAGAACAAAATATGTAAAGAGATTCTTTTTTTTTTTTTAAGGTCTCTTAAAAATGATAAAATTGAAAACATGAGACTCCTACAGAATTCACCAGCTGGGCGGATGTGGTTGCTTAACAGATCATTATGTGATTTACCCTGCTTCACCAGAGCCTCAGCAGTTTCTTTGTTGTGTTGGCAGACAGTCTTGAATCTCCTTGAAACCCAACATGCTATCCGTGACATCCATTTGTAGAGCTGCAGCTCAATTACAGTTCTACTCGTTTACTGGATGGATAGACACCTCCACTGTCTAAAATGATTTCTTCTCATAATAAAAAAGTTACAGAATTCTCTACTAGCATTTGGACAACTCACCCCCCTCCAAAAAGCCACCACCCACCAACCCAACAATAAAAGCCCAAAATGCGCAGAGAGACTCTGACATAATGAAAATGCAATTCTGCTGACAATGATGCATCAGTTAGGAAACATGAAAGCTTCCAAGTTCAATCAGCGTAGCTCCAGATGTGGACACAGCTAGGATAACCAAGAAACCCTTTTGCCAGTTTAGTTTTCGACAGTCAAAGAAATAGTCTAGACCCAGTAGCAGAACAGCTCTTCCTACTAACATAGGCTGTGACTTTGCTCGGATGCTGTGCCAATAATGCTAGAGCAACGGAAGCACTATAATGCCAGCAAATCCCAAGTTCTAACCAGAACACTTAACTCCTAGAAACCACCTTATCTTTGCCGCATGCTTTAGCACCAACCGGAAGTTATAGCGAGGAACATATGTTCCCAACTATAAATACACTGCCAAGGTTTATTTCACATAGGAAATTCTTTTACTCCGCAGGAAGCACACTTTTGACTTATTTCAGAGATTGCCTTAATCCTGAGTCTGCAGATAGCAGTCATTTGGTAGAGTAAGCTACTGCACATCATATCAAAAGGACATTCTGGCCATAACTTAAGGATATTTTGACTTTGTAGCTCCAGAAAGCTCTAGAAATCTATATTAAAGCAGATGAGAAACCTGACAGCTGGAAAAGAAAAAGGCAACAGGCTTTTATGCTGTTCTGACTCCTGGTTGTGGTAGTCAAAGAGCTTCCTTTATTTTATAACTAATAATCTAAAAATCCTCATTCTGTTTCAACAGTTAACAGCAGCCAGGGTAACAATAACCACTGATTTATAAACTGAGGGTACAAAGCTAATAATCGCCATAGTGCTTCCATCACTTGAAAAAGAGAGTCTAGACCATCATGAAATCTATGAGAATTTAATGGGAGTATCTGACTTATGAAATTTGCTTATCAGTATGAAACCTAATCTCTGTTGTTAAGATTGTAGAGATACCATTTCACATCTGAAGTATGTTTTGGGGGCAAAAAACTGGAAGGGTAAAGCTCAATCTTTCATGAAAAGCAATCTTCAACAAGTAAATACTGTTGTAGTCTAGGACATTTTACACAACTTCCCTCAACTATACATTTATTTTTACTAGGATTATCAGTCCTTTAGGTGTCTTTACAGTGTCTGGCTAGGCCATATAACCAAGATCATTATGCTATATTCCTATGATCTGTACTATAACATCTTAATGCCTACATCTTAATGATGAAACTAAAGTTATTATTCACATTTCCTCATGAACATATGCTCAAGCCAGAGCTGAATGTTACTTGCATGCTACAGTTTGGGATTCAAAGCAATTTGTCCACACAGTCTCATGGACAATAATGGTGAATTACAGTTGTGGGAGGAGGAGGGGGAAAAAAAAAATCACTATTCAGCTTTACTGAAAAAAGGAACTGGTGCACAAGCTGAAAAGAGAACACATCATAGCATATTTGGAATTGCAGCTGCTGCACGGGTATGGCCAGTGGTTGATTTATTTTGGTTTTCCACTCAGAGAAAGGAAAGACTGTGGAGCTCTCACTATTTCTAGGCATTAAGTGGGCATGTGCACCAAAGTGGCAATGAACTCAAGGCAGAGGCAACTCATTCTGAGTCTAGGATCTCTGTGACTTCTAAAGGAGCTGGTGGATTAGGCTCCGAAGGGAGTATGATGTTCTGATCCTCTAGCTTTTGCTTGAAACTCGGTTCTAACTGCTGGCTACAGAATCCGCAAGGTAGCAGCAGAACATCTGTCTTTTGTAAAAAGTTGCTGAGATATAACAAAGAATCTAAAAGCAAAGATGACCAATTAAATTGAAACCAATTTTAGTAAATGTAACTATTTAAGCAAAGAGACAGGCAAAAGAATTCAAACATAAAAAAATGGATTTTGGACGTTCTTTTGCTACATTAGGTGTGGCACATGCACTGTAGTGATGGAGAAACCACTTCAAAACATGCAATGCTGCACAGAAACCAAAGTTGCTTGTATTGATGGTGGCACCCAAGAAAAAGCATTTGGGGGTGTCTCGTATAACTGTCGAAGCATTTACGTCAAAACTTGTACTTCAAAGTTTCAAGCAGTTTGGTAAATGACCTACCCTGTGAAATACAGGTTTTTCTGTCTGCTGCGACGTCACTATTAAAAGACTCACAAGGTGACATTATGCAGACAAGCTGCTTTGAAGACATTCATGACACAACGTGCGGACACGCTGCTGATGCTGAGCCATGCACTTTTGTTTTCCCTTCTGGGTTTACAGAATTAGAGAATCAGGATTGGATATATGAAGTCACAGGAGGAGCAAATGCAAGGAGAACAACCTTAACAAGCACACACAAAAGATATCGTAACAGCAAAAGAAGAGTAGCTGCTTACATATACGAGAATAAAAAAAAATCTGTTCTCTCTCCCCCAAGGGGGTGGGGAGCAGGAACAACTCTTATTACCTGGACTATATTTTAAGAAGCAAATTTCAGTTACAAACTGCTCTTTACCTCCAAAAAGCAGAGGACCCCTTTGGAAGTACTACTAATGCATGAGAAATAAAATAAGAATTTTATTTAAGATCCTATCAAGAGATCTGAGTGAATTCACCTCTAAAATTTTGTCTTCACAGAGGGCTAAGACAACCTACAGCAATGAGCAATGTTAGCCAGCTGCTGACTGGAGATTTGCTGTCTACCAACACACTAAAAGAATGCACACGCAGAGACTCTGGGCTTCTGTTTGTTTTTTTCTTGACTGCACCACAGACTGGACAGAAGGAATTGCATATTTATTTTTCCAAATAAAACAGGTGCCTACCATCATCACGGCCAGACTGAAAGCTGCTGCCCCTTTTCAGTGAAGCGCTTTGACTGAGATGGCCAACTGGAGATGGCCGCACATCACTATCCAGGTCTAACATTGGGCTGTGGAGCAATGAATTGCCTAAGGGAAAAAAAAAGTAATATTAAAGATATTGCATATAAATTGATAAGAAATTGATATGGAAATCTATTTTAATTCAGAAGTGATTCCAAGTTCAAGTCATCCAGCAAAAACACTCTTAACCCTGGTTAGAGTATTTGTCCATCTACACCAATGCTATTCAATAACATTGCTATCGACTCTTGGAGCAAAGCCAAAGCCACAAGTACCATATGGAAAACAACCTTCTTTGGTCCGTCTCAGTTTTTACTCTCTTATTAATGCTCTGCAAGTGCAAGGAAGTTGCTTGAGGACCACTGATAAATACATATTTGGGTCATTAATGACATCACATGCTCACTTTGTTCTGGCATATGACTGAATATACTTTTCAATAGCAGAGTGTCTTGGCGCCTCCTGTTGAGGCAGTAAATGGCAGATTGTTTGACCATTTCTTAGCTGTTTGACTATCATAGAATTCAGGTGGTAAGGATCCATCCACCATGAAGTGATGAATAGTGTATGTTTGTGCATGCCTATAAAATGCTTATATACTTCTTCACAATGAGGAAGATCTAAGCAATGACCTAATTTGGTGGAGGTGGATGCTCAAAGTCTAATTAACATTTAGGAAAACAACCGTACTACATGTAATGAGCAGACCATCATGATTTTGTGCTGTATTGAAGCTGCCCTATGCCTGTTCTTACAGACACATTTCTAAAAGTAATCACCAAAAAATGATCTCAGCACTGACCAACGGGGCTGTAACACAGGTGAATTTAAATTAATCTTAATTCATGACAAATTTCATAGTGAAAATCTCAGTGTTGGAGTTTATATTGCTTGATAATTTCCATCAGTAATTACACTTAAAAAAACAGGAAGGCCACATGGTAACAGCACCAGCTGTAACACTGCAATACTCAGATTCAAGAGTAGCATAAAATAAAAAGGATTTGAAGCATATTTATTCTGAAATTATGGTGTTGTGGTCAAACCAGTACGGCAGTCAAGATATGCTCAGCCACTTCAACAGCTGGGGTTCAAAATAGTAAGCATTGTGAAACTTGCTGCAAACTTCAAACTCCAACACTGTCACCTTTTGGGTTCTTTTCAAAAGTTCTTCCTCCCATAATCCTTCAATTTTTTTTTAAAGCAATTTCCTGTGGCCTTACCGAGATATTGCCATTACAGAACTAACTGTTGGTTCCTACACTCATCATGTTACTGTTCGCACTATAAATCAAAATTAATAGATCCATTTGCTACAGAGTTAACAGCGGTGACAGAACACTACTTCGACTGACTTGGTGAACTCATCTGTGCTACCTTTAGTCTGTATTAAGATTCTGTTGAATGTTTTATTCCTGCACCACTTGTTAAAAATAACACATCTTTATGACACCCTTAAAACTGAGGGGTTTCAGCAATATAGAATCTGCTGCAGTGATGTAGGTAGATTATCCACCATCACCTTAGGCAAGTTCTACAGTGAGTTTGAACGGGAATTTGGGGAAAGATCTTTCCTTTTGAATGAACTAAAAACAAACAAAACCCAACAGAACAATGAGGAAGGAAAAACTAAAACTATCAAACATTTTTGAAGTAGGCATACATATTCCTATGCAACCGCCCACACAACAGAGATCTGTGTAAGGTCATGCATCTTCTGCATTTACAAATGAAATACCTATAGCTTCTAAGACACATCTTAAATGCTGCAAATTTGCAGTAATTGACATCTGTAAAAACATTCCAGCAATTTGGCAGAATGAATAAAAACAAAGCAAATTTCTCCCTCTCAGGATTAAAAAAGGCCCACAAAAAAAGCATGCATTAGATACGTTACAGTGATTCTACCTAGAATAAAAAGACTGTACAGAAGACCGTGCGAAATTTTAACTTCTTCACACAGTTCTGTGGCTTTCATAAGAATTTAACTATTTCTGAGATTCAACATATCTGCATTTTATTTGGTTGGGGGAAAAAAGACGACAGACATCAGAGTTTTAAAGTAATGAAAGACACAGATATTGCTGGCTAAAATATATTTTTTAAAAGTAACAGTGCTGTTTTCACATAAATTGCATTTAGAAAAACCCCATGATACATCAAAACTTCCCTCTTTGATGTCTACATATAGAATTTATGCCCTCACCCTTCAAACACCTTGTTAATATGAGGAATTTCTTGTAAACAGATGGTCTCTAAAAATGATAGTACCCATTAAACCGCAGAATTAAGAAAAACAGGCATACTTACCAAAACATCTTAACGTCAATTACTTCAATTAAAACCATTTGCCCGAGGTAGCTAAAAACCTGAAAATTCTGTGTTGCTGATGATATACTAACCCCCCACTGCCCAAATGGTTTATATATTCACCAGTAACAGAAAACACGTAAAGAATACTCTCTTGTTCCACTAGAAAAACCACATCATCAGTTTGCAGTTGTACCAGGAAAAGAAAGTTTAACATGAACTAATTTCTTAATTGGTTGTCTAGCATTACAAGCAAGTATAACACAGCAGCAGGGAACTACAACAGCACATATACCCTCAGGACTAATAAACATCTGGACTACATTAACAAAACTGATCTTGCTCGCAACCGACCAGAAGATAGCGCTTGAAGACCGCACACTAAAGCGTAAATCTTGAGGGAGCAAAGTAAAACAAAAAAAGTGAGAGTTAACTTACAAAGACGTTTTCTCCCATCCCCAATTCATTCTGCCTCTGGAGGCAAGAGCTTAAATTTAGCAACATAATGTAACACAATGAATTAATATTATTGTCTACAGCCCGTACTAGTATTTATAAAGCTAAATAGACTACTATAAAATAATAATTTACTGTTTATTCATGATTTGATTTGCATACTATTTCTACATTTTAAATCCTGAATACAGGACATCAACAATCTAAAATTTCAACAAGTCAGCTTTTTCCTGCGCTTACAGGTTTTCCGATATTCTATAAACAGTAAGAACAATACATTCTGACATATGCTCATTTTAAAAAATATAGTGCGTCTCTGATGTTACAGAAGTATTTTGTCCCCCAAAACACAGCATCTACATGGAGCGTATCTTCCAGTGACTCTAGTACCAAGTGTATATTTAACCAAGGAAACACAAGAAAAATAAATGAACTACATTCTCCCCATCTACCAAACAATCATGACAAACCAGAAAAGTAATTAAATCCTTATTACATTCACAACTGTAAAACCATGAGAAGATCAAACAAGCAGCAGTTTTAAGGACTTTAACACTGCTTTCAAAATTTTAACGGATTTTACTGGGTTCCAGCTTCCTTTGTACACAGATATTTTAAAGGTGTGTAGAACGAAGTAAAAGCATTGGACACCATGTGAAATATAAATGGTACAATGGTTTTGTTCAGGTCTCCTGTTGTAATTCAGTAAGATCTCAGCAGAATAAGCTTCCCCACCCCCAGCAAGAGATTTTGAGGCCATTTACTCAGTTTGTGCGTTCACTTACTAGTACGTAACTTAAAAAAGTCCACCTGTGTTGACTCCTAATTGCAGGTTTTATTTTTACCTTGAGCTCTTTTTTTGTGTGTTATCTACACATTCTAGGCATGCTGCATGTTATAGCCTTAATGAAAAATAAGCCTAACGTGAGATTTGCCTAAAACAGATTTTTCCATCATCTGCAAACCAGTCAACAATTTAAATCTTTAAAAGCAGCTTTACTTTCATATTTCAAAACTATTCTGAAATGGAGCGCACAAATTGTTCTGCAATACCCATTGCTCCACAACTCTGCACTCTGCTTGTTTTTTTTTCTTTGCAGTCTAACAGAATGAGGTTTTTTTCTGGGAGTTATGCATCTCTCACCTCCCTTCCAAAAGCCTGTCTCATCATTTATGTAACATTCAACTAAAGCTCTTTAAAAGGCTTTTTACAAAAGATACTGATTGATCATGGGATAATACAGTGCCAATATATTTGGAATGACAGAAAAAAAAATCATAACGACAAGTGACGAACTTCAGTTTGAATAACTTTTCAACGTGATTTTCCACGGTAAGTCAAGAACCAGTCATTACACAGACTAAACGTATATACTCAGCATGTATATGAACAAGATTCAAAAAAAAAAAATCTACAGATGTGCAACCAGGTGAATACAGTTACTATATTCTTTCATCCTTTATGCATCTTACAGTGAATTTTCTCACAGGCTACAATAGTGAGGGAACACTGATCTATAGCCTCCGGACTCTCTGAAGGGCAGCAGACTTCCTTACCACCCTTAAACACCTTTGAACATTTTTTCCTGTGCACAGCGGGCCCTTGTCCTGTGCTACAGCCTGACCACCCACTGTTGCTTGTTGACCAAACACACAGTGCCTGGAGCCTGCACTGACACAACCAGGGTAGGATTCCTTTCAAGGACACCGCATAGAGAATTTCAATTTGTCTAGGCAAGAAATTAGGGGAGTAGAATAAATTACCTCTGAATTAACCTGCTCAGCAGATGAATGACTGCATTTTATTCTTTTTCTTGAGTACTCTTTCTTGCTAACTTTATATGCATGTTTATTTAGAAATTGACATTTTAAAACGATCAACTGGAAAATGGGTTATATTTTTAGCAAAAAGATGAGTGCAGAAGATTAAAATTGCTGCACTTACAGAAAACACATTTTTGGAATACACTTAAAAATGAAAGGCCTTTCTATCTTAAAGCTAGTTTTCCTTATGTCAAATGTCTTTAGAAAGAAACGATTTTTCCTTTTAACACAAGAAGAGACTATTATTATTTCTACTGGTAAGTATTTCACAACCAGGATAAACCTTATTGTCAGTCCTGCAGGCCACATATGCTGAAGCAAAAGGCAAATACTTCAAATTCAGCTTGCAAATAAAAGTGATGTCATTTTACTAGCACTAGCTTCAGTGGACATTGACATTTTCAGCAGCTTTGAAGAGCAACCCACTTCTAGTTAGTCTTTTGAAAAAGGATTCAAAAGACTATAGTAGACACCAA